AAGTGGAGCCTGAAATGTCCTTAAATAACTTGTGTAGAAGTTGTTGGGTAGAAAGCTTTTCCTACACAGACTTCATCTGCTCTTTTGGGGGATATTTAGGGAATGAAAGTGCAGCCTGTAAAAGCTGTATTGCAAGGGTGTGCCATCTGCTTGGGTTGAGAATGTAGTTTAGTGTGTTTGCATAAGCAAATGTTATTTTCTGCTGTGTGTACTTAGAGAAACACAGGATTTCAGAAACGGCCTTCATTTCATTATGCTTATGTTTTTCTTTGGGCATGGAAACAGCTACTTCAGTTTGTTTTAAAACAAATGAACAACGGTTTTAAACAAAGAGATGAAGGCAACATGTAGGATATGTAACTCAGTCCACATCTGAAGTGTTACTGAGGTGAAGAACCTGGGAGCCAAGAAAAAAAAACAGATGTTGATGTTGTGACCGTAATCCCTGGAGTTATTGCTGTGAGCTTGGAGTGGCAGCAGATTTGGGAAGATTCTAAACACACTTGTTTCAAGGGTTGCCCTAACCCAGAGTTCCAGCTCCTGTGGGTTAGGAAGATGCTATTTATTAGAGAACAGTTTGTTTCTTAACTGGCTCCTCAAAAAAAGAACTTATTTTCTTTTAATGTCTTCCCGAAGCCTGAGGGTAGTCAGGAACAGGCACCTCCTTCATCCAGCATGCCTGCTCCTGGTTTTAATTTCTGGCTGTCCTGGAGGCTCCCTAGTGACATTGGTTAGAGGACAACATTTCAAAACCAGGAAAAGGTAAATATTAACATGCTTTGTATTTGTCTTCCATTTATGCTGCACAGATACTCTTGCAAACAAGTGAACTCCTGGGAATGACCACGGCAGACAGTAAATCCACAGAGCATGTTTGCGCAAAGTGGAACTTTGAAATGAAAAATACGAATCCTGGAACAATTACATTAATGTGGCTGTGGCTGTGCCTGACACACTGAGTCTGCTGCTTAGTTTATGCTGCTTTGGGTATTTAATTCTCCTGGCAGAAATGCTGGAAGAAAACTGTGGGCCAAGGTTATTTGACAGATGGCTTTTGGCAATTAAGACTTATTGATGTTAGGGCACAAAGACAGAGAAAGGCTGAAAGGGAATGCTCCTCTGAGCTCCATTTATTTTGCTGTCAGACAGAAGGAGTGCTCATATCTCATAAGAGGGCAGGAAAGAGGTTCTGTAATGCCTGTCACTGTCTTGTATCTATTCCTTCAGGGTCTCAGCTTCCCACTGTTGTGTTGTCAGTGGGAAGAGCAGCTTAGTTTGGTACTGACAACTATGTACTTCATTCGTTGCTTCAATTGCTGTAGCCCATCCAACTGTGTCCTACTTCACTTAATTTTGGGGTTTACGTATGATGAAGCACCTCTTTCTTGTGCAACAGCAGCAGTTCCATGGCATTTGTAGACGCACCCTGCACTGAGACCTTCCATTGTAACTAGCAGCCTCCCTGTGTGCTTGCTGGATGCGTTCCCTGCCCACTGGCTTGGCTTGATGCCTTCTCAGGTCCATACCCAAGTGCTGTTGCAATTTGGACAGATAATCCCCAGAGGTCTTGCAAGGAGTGGCTTGTGTGTAGGTGTGGCAGAGAACGTGGTGGAGCCCTGGTGTGATTCGAAGGCTTTGCTTGGTGTGAGGTGGTGGAAAGGAATCCACAGGAAAGCTCTCGAAAAGCTTTGCTTGCAGCAGGAACTCTTGTTGCAACCTCCTGCCTGCCCTTAAATTCATATCCCCACAGTCTTAAGCTGATGTGTAATCTCTGTGAGAAATGCAGACTTAATAAACAGTTCAAGGACTCTTTATGTCAACAAGAGTCCGGTTTGTTCTCCTTTATGTTTGCAGCTGTGTTGCTCCTGTTCAGCTGTGTGAATTCAGGCCCCGGCTCCTTCTGCCTGTTCCGATCTAGAGTATGGAATCCAGATATGTTTATTTCTTTCCTTTTTCCCCCCTCCCCCTATCTCCAGGGTGGTGATAGAAACAAAGTACAAATATTTGTCTTTCCTGGTCTAACACGTTTTTATATAGTGCTGAGAGCGCTCTCTTTATTCAGCTGACTGCTCTGGCCACCTCAAAATACAGGAAAAACCTCAAGGTCATTCATCTGAGAAACAAAAATGCAATCAGCTTGGATGTTGAGGAGGGGAGTCACACATGGCAGAGGCTTGGCAATGGGAAGGAATGTGAGGAGCAGAAGTCTCTGAAGCGGTCCTGCCCCTGCCTCGGTGCAAAAGGAGTGTCCTCCAAGAGTCATCCTGCACAAGCTTTGGTCATCAGGATCAAAGATTAGGCTAAATGGAGGTTTCGTCTTGAGGAGGTCACTTCCACTAATTTTATAACAACCTTGGGATGAGAATTTGTGGAATTGCGTGAACAAAATTGCTTGGAGGTGTGTTTGCAAACACTGGAGCTTTGGGGAGCACCAGGGTTCAAAAAACAGGCAAGGGGCTCCAGGTGAGATATCAGCAGAGCATGAAGGAAGAGAGTGGGTTGCTTGAGTGCTGCCCAGAAGAGAGACTACAGATCTGTCATCTGGGGAGCAGAGTATTGCTGGGCAACTGCTGGAAGGAGCCGGAGGGATGTGACCTGGGAGGGAAATATGCACCCCAGGTAGCTGCAAATGTAGTGGCTTCTCGGCCATTCAGTACTGCAGCAGGAAGGGGACAGAGCTGTGAGCTGCAGGCTTTATGACACCGTCCCACTTAACGTGATGTTTCTGAGGGTCATGCAGTACAAACTATACAGGGAGCAGATCTTGGGCTTTGAATGTCTCGGGCACCACCACAAGTTAATCTCTGAACATGTTGCTTGTGCCCTTCTGCCTCTTCTTGCACACTTGAGTCTTGGCATCTGTAGAATGGAGATGATTATAGCATGTCATTGCAGAATCAAGAGACCTTTCAGTAGTGCATAGTAACTATATGCGGGAAGCTAAAACTCACAAAAGTCTTTGCTTACCTGAGCAGGCCCTGCAGGCATCTTGTGTGGCACTTGCCACAACAGCAGGGCTGCATGGAAATAGATGATCAGTCTTTAACAGCATGGATTAGTCTTGGCATTGCTTATTGTTAGTGAAGTAAATGTCTAATAGGCTTGGATTCATAGGCAGGTTTCTCCCTCCCTTCTCTCTCCCCACCCCTCCCGTCCTCGAAAGAAAATTGACTGCTTAGACTATGTGGGGCAGGCTTAAGATCTCAAAAAAGAAATCCTCAGTGCCTAGAAAGGTTGGCCCAGATGATGCTAGATTCAACAGTGGACATTAAGACAAGCAGGAGGGTGTCTGGGTAAAAGTGTGTGTGAATGGAGCACTAATGAGTCCCTGTATGAGCAGTTGAACTGTTGGGCTTGTCTAGGAAGTTCTTACAGAGGTGGCCTTGTGTTGTAAAAGATGGGGGGGTCACATGCTCCCCAGGTTTGTCTTGGGCAGTTACAAAGCTTTCACACCTGGAATACTGTGTCTAGTTCTCCTCAATACAGCAATTGTATGGACTTACTGCCAGTCCAGTCCTATGAGGAGAGGTTGCAAGGGTTGGCACTGTTCAGCCCAGCGAAGAGGGGATTTCATTACTGTGTATAAACACCCGATGGAAGAAGGGGGAGCTGGCCTCTTCTCAATGGGTCCATGGGTATTAGCGACAGGACAAGGGGCAATAAGATGAAACACTGGAAATTCCGCATGAACTTTTTTTGTTCTTTCTTTTTTCGTAACTGTGAGGGCAGTCAAAAACTGGAACAGATTGCTTGAGAGGTTGTGGAGTCTCCATCTGTGGAGATATCCAGAACCTGACTGAGCCCTGAGCAACTTTGCCTTGAGCAAGATACAGTAAATTTACAAAAGGTGAGGATGGGATGCTTGTGTCATGTTAGGTGCTGTGAATTACTGTCTCCTGCAAGGGCAGGAATTGCTGTTTCAAAATGGGTTCTTGATAGAGGCTCCAAAGGAAATTAGGCTCCAAGGCTTGCCTGTCCTCTTTGGATTTAAGGGCTTGTCTCATCGAACGGTGAGCTACCTGTGAAGGTACTTGCTCAATGTACGCTTAAGCTGCCATCCAGAGTAGCTGTTCTTCTGCTACCTTGCTACCTCTGGATGTTTTTTCTACTTTGCTGTTCTTGGAGGACATACAGTTAAGATATCTGTGTTTCACTGATCAACTGACAGACTAATTTTTCAAGATGTGGTGGGCTTCGAATGTGTGTGTCTTATCTACTTCATATGCTCTCATATCACATCATATCATCCATATATCATCAGTCATCAATGTCATCAACAGAGGTGTGCTGTCTCTTCTGATAAGTTATGCATTCTCATACCCTGTTTTCTTTAGCGACGTGTGCAGCTCTGGAGAGAGAGCTGAAGGGTTGTTCTCTTCAAATGGAAATGGTGGCATTGCCATTTGGTGCATACAGGCTGCTTGCTTGCTTCTCAAAGCAAATAGAAAACTGAGGGCATTCTACTCCACAGCCATACTACCTCTGCAACTGTGTGGTGGCCAGATAATGTAAGGAGAAACTCCAGTTGCTGGTGCAGTGGGTTCCATTAAAACCCTTGCTCACAACCTGAAGCAGCCTTCCTTGTGTAGCTGAGGGCAGTCAGCAGTGTATTCTTGTTTTGTTAGGTGGTGTATGTATGGGTTATGGTCATCTCGCTGTTTTGTGTGTATGTTTGCTTGCTTTCATAGCACAAGTTATTCAGGTTGCTCCCATTTGGGTAAGTGAATGTCTTATTACATCTGCTGCATCTGTCCATTGTGTCTTGTCTGACAGTCCCCTCTGTGATTCTGGATTAGAGCAGCAGCGAGGAGGCATTTCTATAAATGACCTCTGGATCTGAATGAATAGCCAGTGCAGTGACAGTGTTGATCTCCCTGTGGATATTGCCAGCATCTAGGTCAGACTGAGGAAGGGGGCAGGCTTCTCCCACCTGGATTTGAAGCTGTCTTGTTCTTTCCCTTCGGCTAACACCCATCTGACTTTCCTTTCTCTTCCCACAGGTTGATGCAGTGCGGGTGTATGTGAACAGCAGCTCTGAGAACCTCCAATATCCTGTCCTGTTTGTAGTTCGCCAACAGAAGGGAGTGCTGTCATGGCAGGTCCCACTAATTTTTCGAGGCCTGTAAGTACTGGAGTCTCTTCCTTGTAACACACTTGTCTGCCAGCTGTATCCCTCATCAGCCTTCCTCAAGTGCTACATCTTGCTGCTTGTGTAGACCACAGGGCTTGGTTGCAAAGTGTGATTGCTAATTGTCAGCTGAACACAGGAAGACTAGGATTTGGTAGGTAACCTCTTAGTTGGCAGCCTGCTTGGTTTCTCATATATGTCTGCTGGAGATCTGCCTGTATTGCTAGTCAGTGAATCCAACACACAGCACTGTTGTCACTTCCACAGTTGCTTACGGTATGTGCAAGCAGTTCTTGTGCTCAGGTTTGGAGCAAGCTCTCAGAAGAGCACCCTAACTGCTGTGTTACAGTGCGTTTGGGCAATAAGGGCTCTCCTCTGTTTCTCACCCCAGGTACATCTAAGATGAGTCTATTATGGCTGCTGGTGGTTGTTTTGGGAATATTTTCCTTGTGAAAGTGATGCTGATGTGTATCTTCAGCAATCTCAAAGCTCATCAGGCTGCAAGTACTGAGACGTTGCAAGCACCTTAGACCACCTGAGGTGGGAAGTTTCATCCTGCCACTGAAATGCTGGTGCCTGGCAGCAGATACCCTGCAGTCTTTTGCCTGATGGCTGTCCTGGGCTGCCATTGCTCTCTCTACCTCCAGCAAATGGCAGATGTGCTAGATCTGCAGATGGAGCAGGCAGCCTTGAGGGAAGTGAAATGTTGGGGATGGCTACTCCCTTATACAAACCACAAGATGCAACAGAGGTGGAGTTTGAGCTCTGAATAAAAGGCTCGATGATCTTGGTCTTTCAGATTAGTATTTCAGTTATGCAAGCAGGGGATTATGTCATTCTTGGAACTGCCAAGGAACTTTTTAACTGCTTTCTCTCTCTTTTTCCATCCAATTTCCCCTTCCTTCCTTCCCCTGGCTGTTGTAGCTATCAGAGGACCTACAATTACCAAGAAGTGAGTCGTACCCTCTGTCCTTCTGAGCCAACACCTGAGACAGGATCTGCTGACCAGATCATATTTGTGGACGTTGCTTCCATGGCACCGTTTAATATTGCGTATGAGCTACTAGTCACCAGGCTTGAGAACTTCCAACTTGAGTAAGCTGGGATGTGAGAACACAAATGTAATTTCTTCATGTATCTGTTCCATAGGGATTTGGTTAATCTGCTGTGACTCTTCCCTTTTTCCTTCCAAGAACAACAAAAGGAGATTATGTTTTATTTTGCTTAATCTAAAGGTATTTTTTTTGAGTTCCAGCTCTGAAAGTTTTAGACTTCAACATGCTGGCATTTCTTTTGTAGGACCAACAAAGCCTTTAACTTCACTGCCAGCCCATCTCAACCCCAGGTAAGGAGGTGTACTGTGTGTCTTACCACATCCAAATGGTTGATGCAGTCCTTTGTTAGAGATAGCAAAAACCTTACATGACTAGGTTATTTCTCTTAGGATGCAGGGAAACTTCCTTCCTCTTAAATTTTCTGTGGATATAGTGAAGAGGTAACAGTGCTTTAGCCCCTCTAGGGGCATGGTTGGGTCCTCTTGCAAAGCAGTTAAGTAAACCAAAAAACCATGACCAGAGCAAACGAGCAGTGTCTGTAGTTCAGGAAATTCCAGAAATGTACAGAAGGCCAGAGGCCATTGGACTGCTACACTTAATGGGAAAGGAGATGGTGTGCACCAGTATCTTGTTCCAGCCATTGCTGGTTCAATTGCCTAAGTGTGACTTGCCAAGACGCAGTCTTTACTGGAGAAAAATAAATACCTAAATAAATAAGCTAATGATACAGCAGAACTCAGACTGCTGTTCCTTGCTCATGGCAGCAAGGTGACTTGGGAGGTGCTAAACTAAATGCCTCATTATTACTTCAGAAGAGTGCACACATGTTCAGCACATCCAGCTGAGCAGCTCTGTTTAGAGCCCTGCAGATACTACAAGTCCTCTCTTGAATGAAACTGCTGTTGGCAGTAACTATAGTGATACAGGAGCTCTTAGAACTGGGGAAGTATGTAATTTACTCAGGCTGTCTGGTACCCCAGTTCTGTTTGTGCTATCACTGTTAGTAACACCACTTAATTTTAGGTTTCCTATTACCAGGCATTCCAGCTAATCTTTTTTGCTGTCAAATGTCTTAAGCTGGTTTGCAGTTACATGCAGTATTTTACATTATAGAAGCAATAGGGAATGGTGGTGACTCTTTATAAACCCTTGTTACTTAGGATCTTGTAATTTGAATGTTGAGTCTTTAGGATGTGGCCTGGAATTAACTTTGTGAGTTTGGTCTGTTATTTATCACAGTTAATAATATGAGATTGATGACTTTAATTACAGACCAGATGTTAGAGAGCAGAAGGTGCTTCTTCATTCCTATAGTGCTGAGGCTTTTGTATATCAAAGTATTAAGTAGTTTTCAGGGGGAAAAAAGGCAATTCAAAAACTATATGGGTGTTGGAATAGCCCTAAGACTGGAAAAAAACTGAAGGACAACTGAAGGAGTTGTTGTCTGGAACTCAGTTCATGCCTTAGGGCAGAAGGAGAAATTAGAAGTGATTGTATAGGTCAGGAGTATTGCCTGAATGTGTTTATACCACACACAGCCTATGAAGCAGAAAACTGTAGGTGTCAATGCCCCTTATGTTAATTCTGTACTCTGGTATAAGCGTGGCTTAAAAAGATGATGATAGAGAAATCCTCATGGGTGACTTCTTCAAGGACCTAAAACTTCCTAAGGGTAAACTCTGGGGTGAGGTGCCCATCAGCCCCTTGTGGAAACTGTGGCTGTGAGCCTGTGCAGCCGCATCTGGGCTTCAGGTAGGTTGATGGGAGCCCTTGTGACGAGCCTGCCTGCTGGCACAAAACACCCTCCTCCTTCAGCAGCAAGTTGGTGTAGGACATCAAACTTTTAATGGAAGAAGATGCAAATAACGCTGTTTCCTGGGACATCTTTTGCCCAGATCTGAAAAGACCCTTGCTAGGACAAGGAAGGGTATTTCCTGATGCTACAGACTGTCCTGTGGGCCTGCTGAAAGTATGGGAGCACAAACCTCACCATTCCTTGCCCCCAGAGGAAAAGTAGGAATATTGGCAGGTGTTAGCATCTCCCAGTTTTTTTTCAGAGATATAGCTGAATTATTTTTAAAGCTGAACTGATAAGAGAAAACCCCCATTACCCTTTGCCCTCAAACCCAAAAATCCTAAATCCTACAACTAATACCAGTTTATTTATGAAACACTTGACAGAGTTTCAAGCATTTGACCTAATATTTCTCCCAGTCTCTTTTTGAGGCAATTCATCTGAGAGAAACTCTTATGATATGTTCCTCATAAAGTACAGCTAGCAGTATGGAAACATCTGGAAATTGTTCATAGCAACATAAAATGGAGTAGGGTATAAAATGAAGTCACTTTAACTTCATCAGGTAGGAAAAAGCTTAAGGGGAGCCGAAGCTGTGCTGTATCTTGCATGTTCAAGGTGTGTGTGTCTAACAGCGTGCTGTGCAAGGGGGGGAGTTGTCTGTACGTATTTAATCCGCTCTTCTGTAGCATAAGGTCCTATTATTTGAAATCTGAATTTTTGTGAGAGGCCTTCACATCCAAGGCCAAAGCCCAGCTTTGGCTGTGCAGAGGTACCTTAGGGAGGCTATGAAGCTCCTGGCAAGGGGGATTTCTGGACCGTAACTCTCAGCGCTCTGCTTTCTCCTCAGTATTTTCTGTACAGATTTCCTCAGGATGTCGATTCAGTCATCATTAAAGTGGTGTCTGATGCCATCTATCCATGCTCCGTTGTCTCCGTCCAGGACATTGTGGTAAGCCTGAGCAGAGAAAAGTAAAGAGTTGCCTGCTGGAGCATTGTGTCCTGCTGTGAAGGGGGCTCTGCTCCAACAGAGGGAAAAGACCTGGTCTTTTCTAGGTCTTTTTCACTAGGGCTTTGCCCTAGTGTGGTGGTGGTGGTGAAGAGAGGTTCCCTGAAAGAGGAACAGAAACTGTGGGAAGGAGGCGAAGACAGGGCTGCTTATACCCAGATAATAATTGTAAACAGATGAACAAGCTGTTTGTCTCCAGCCTGTACACAGGGCATTTGTTATGTTCTCCTTGTAAGGTTTAATATCGTGCTGCACTGTGATATGGGTCTTTGTCTCTGTGGAGTGGTATTGGATGGAATGCTGGTGACTGAGGGAGGACAGTGCTGTTCCCTTGATGGAGCCTTCTCCTTGCTCAGGGCAGCATGGGGAGTTTCTGACTTCCAGACAGGTGTCTCCTGCTTTCCCATTCTATTTCCTCTCTATGCAGTTACTCATCCCTTTTTGTGGGAAGGGGAGATCAGCTGTTCCCTGCCGTAGAAGTTGGCTGTTGCTTGTAGCCGGGAATAGCCCCATATTTATCCTCCTTTCCCAGCTCCCTGAATGATGCAAGAGCCTGCACTGTGAAAGCAGCATGATGGTGACAGAGATGCATGGTGCTGCACAGAGGTGCAGCAGCCTTGGCTGCTGGCTCTGAAATCCTGGCAGTGACCTTTAATACCTGTGGTGAGGAGAGGAATGAGTAACATCAACTCCTGCCCACATCCTTGTGTTTGAATGGTAGAAGGGCAGGAGTGGAGACTGACAGGTGATTTTCAACCTACTAGATATTAAGAATAGTGGGAAAGAGTAAAATGAGGGCAAGCACTTGGCATATAGTACAGACTGCAAAGCATGACACAACCAGTGTACAGCTGAGCATATGCACTGCCCTGTGGGAATGATGAAGTGATCAATCTGGCTGAATGCTTCTAGGATTAAACTGCAGCCCTCTTGTGATAATGCCAAGATCAGTAAGTGCAGGCCACAACTGGTGACTTCAGAGCAGCTTTCCTCACTTCTGAATGGGTCCTGGTTGTTCTGTTCCCCTTGTTATCCTGAGCAGGGCCTTTTTTCTGCTGTTCTGCATTGTCTGCTCTCCTGCAGGCTTCCTGTGAAATTAGTTCAGATTCTGCCCCTGGTTTAACCCTTAGTTGTGTCTGTTTTAGTGCCCAGTATATGACCTGGATCATAATGTGGAGTTCAATGGTGTTTACCAGTCTATGACTAAGCAGGCAGCCATAACGGTGCAGGTAAGATGCTGATTTTTGTCCCAGTGCTGTTTTGGGTTATTTTTGGCTTTGGTTTTGTTTGTCTGTTTTACTGGCTTGTCCTATGCATTCCTAGCTTGCTTTTGATGCTGGTGTGCTGTGAGCTTTTGCTTTTTAGGTCGGCTGATCTAAGTGGAAGAAGTGATATTACCTTTTACTACAAAACCTTGCTTATGTTTGCTTAGGTAGGTGTGTTGTGCTTTAGGTACTGAGGTTCTAGATCAGAGTGGCTGCAGCCAGGTGCCTTCTGTTTGAACCTGGCTCTTCTACCACTGAGTGGTGGTAGTAGAGCCTTCGTAATAAGCAAAGCTTAGGTAAATGTATTAGTATTGGCTTGCTTGTACTGGGGCACTGCTGTACGGCATAGTGTTGAACTCAGTCAGCTTATTGTCAGCAAGGAGGAGAGGAACACCCCCAGAAGCCAAGCTCTGTGCAGAACAGGCAGATCTCTGGAAGGCTGCTGCCTGTCTAGTGACTAAAACCTGATTTCTGGCCTTTTGGAGCACTGCCTCTGCTTTGCATTGGAGGGAGAGGCTCCTTCACATCTTATGGAGTCTGTCCTCTTCTATCCTTCTGTGCAGAGAAAAGATTTTCCAGGTGAGCAGTTCTTCGTTGTATTCGTCATCAAGCCAGAGGATTATGCCTGTGGGGGTTCTGTGCCTTCTTCTGCTCATGGTAAGTTGTGCTAGGGGGTGGATTTGGTTGATGTTGGAGCAGCAGGAGTCCTTTGGAATCTTATTGTGGGAGGACACAGGTTGGTCTTATAGCTCTGTCTCTTCCACATACCTGTGAGGAAGAGTGAAGTATAAACTTGATATTGTTGGATAGGTTACAAGTCTTGACCAATACAGGAGGTGGCTGGCTGGTACAGTGCCTGGCTTACTAGGGTTATGCGCTTGTCAGAAGAGTCACTGGAGTCTTGGGAGATGGCCAGGGAGTGCTGTTTACAGCTTTTTGGAAAAGTTAGTCATTTTAGGATGATAATTTCACAGATATTTTTAAAGTCTCTCTGGTTGGGAAAGGCAGTAGAACAAATCAACAAATCTATTGCCTTTCCCAACCAGAAAACACTGTGTTCACTTCCTGTGCAGTGGTAAAAGCAAAGCCTTCACCACTGATGTGGTGGCTGTAGCTGGAGTGGGGACATTTGTATCCTCAAAGCCAGATGGCTTCCTCCTGTATGAGAAGCTAGACTGCAACCAATAAATATACTGGGCTCCCTCTACGGCCCCTTCCTTCTACCTATCTCCCAATTGCACCCTTAAAACAAGAGTTGGCACCTTCTGGGTGTCTTTGCTGGTAGTTTTAGGATCAGGTAGAGTTGTACTGGCAGGGTGTGCTGAGCCCTGCTGAAACAGAGCCAGGCACTAGTGTGGCAACCTGCACAGAAGTGATTTGCCAGCAGAGCTTTGGCCAAAAGAAAAATGGTGTCACAGTACCTGTAGTGGGAGAAAGAGCCCTTTGGGGACTAGTTGAATAGGAGATAAGATGCTCTTTGGATTCAGGCATTCAGACCTGAACAGTGTATGGAAGGGTCGAGGAGGGATTTCTCATCTGAAAACCAGGCTGTGGGTAGGGAGGAAGGGAAAGTAAAGGCTGTATGTTGATACGTCTGAGTAAGGTTTAGAGCAAAACCACACAGAGGTGATAGTGAAAAGCCAGATGCTGGTGTTTTTTGCAAGTGCAGAGAACCAAGATCAGAGCCAGGGATTTAATGTTTGGTTTTATATTTGCTGTACACTTTGCCTCTCACAGGGAACGTCAACCGTACCTGGAACCTGCAGCGGACAAAGAACCTTCAAGTGACAATTGTGCCCTCTGTTAAAAGTCAGTGCCTTTGGGCAGAGCAATGCAACTTTACTTGGCCCTTCTGTGTAGAAGGGTATGGCTGGGCTGGCAGCCCTCTGGTGGGATGGTGAAGAAAGCACTAGCAAAGGAGTCAAAACCCAGCTGCAGCCCTGATCCCTTCCAGGAGGTGCTGTGTGGCACAGGGTGGTCTCGTGGGCAGACCAGCTAGTGCTGGGGTGAAGAAATGGGGGGAGACCTTGCAACAGGTTCTGGCAATTCCTCTTGAGGAAAGCAGATGGGCTTTGGGGGGCTGTTTTGAGTTGGGTGTTGCCACCAGGTGGTGGTGGGAAGAGCAGGATGGGAGCTCTGGCTCTGTGAGGAGCTGTCTCTGCTCTGTGTTGACTGATAACGCTGTTTCTTTCCTCAGAGTCTGTTTATGTCCAGGCCATGTTCTTCAGCTTCCTGAGTTTCCTCTCCTTTTACCTGGGCTCAGTGGTTGTTGCTTTTGTGCACTACATCAGGTGAGCTGAGGGGTTATACAAGAGCAACCTTTCATCTCGGAGATGCCTCACCCTGCAGTACATTTGGGGCCAGTGGGGCAGCAAGCATCTGAACAGAGCAGTGAAAGAAGTCCATGACTACTCGGACCTACTGACCATGAGCCAGATGGGGATCATGGCAGTGTGATACAGTGTGCCAGAGCACTGTGGAGAAAAGGTACTTCACAGTGCTGGACTGAGTACTGCAATACGTGGCAGTGACTCAAATAGGGCCCTGGAGTCCTGAGAGTGCTAGTTTCCTTCCTGACCTGTGTCCGCTGCCCCAGACTTTGGTGCCTGGGCTTGTGGTGAGGAGAATATCTGTGTCTGAAGTGAACTTGGGCACAGGTACCATGACAGGTTGTTCTAGGGCGAAAAAAAAAAAGGGGGAGGAGGGGGAAATAAAATCTCTCCCACCATGCTGAGCAGTGTAGGATGGGATGGTCATGTAACTGGTTGTCCTGCTGGATAGTTGAGAGGGTAGAATCCCTTCTGTTGCTTTGGAAATGGGAGAGGTGGGTAGCAGGCAGTCATGGCTGAACCATGGCTGGTCCAGTGTTTTCCTTTTTTATTGCTTTTGTTTCTTTTATGGTTTATCTATATTGGGTTGGTTTGTTTTGTAGAGGTTGTACCATATTTACCTATTGGCGTCCTAGATATGGCTGGCAGGTGATGGGGTTTGTTGGCTATCTCATGAGTGCTGTGTGTTCCTTTTCAGGGTTCAGAGGAAGGCTTCAGCTGGGAGACTGTGTCCTGAGGATGGTAAGGTTTTTCTTTCCTCTGTGACAACTTTTAAATGAATAGCACAACAAGTACATTCTGTCCCTTCTAGCTTTTTCCCCTGTACACGTACCAAGTAGTTCCTGGTGCTAATAAAAGATGTTAGAGCTTCCTCTCTGCCCTTACAAGGGTGCCTGAAGCAGGCTCCCCTGAACCTGGTCCTGACCCCGTACCCCAAGGAGCTGGCTTTTAGAGGGGTAGATGAAGGGTAAACCTTGGCTAGATCTTGTTATCAACTAATGTTCTTGATGCCAGGTCTGTTCATTTCTAAGCAGGGCACTCTGAAGTAGCCAGCTCTTATGTTTTAAGATTTCATCTCCCTGCTTTAAGCATAGGGTCTCTAATTTTTTAAATTTAATTTAAATTTTAGTTTGTTTTTAACTGGAAAATATTTTAACAAGTGAATGAATGACTGATACAGTTTGGTTGTGCTGCTTGTGTATTTACTTGTGGTATTGGATTCAGTTTACTTTATCCTGCACCCACCTTTCAACGTGCTGCAGATTTCTGCTTTATACAAACATAGCTGCAGCTGAGAGGCTACCAGTGGAAGATGGAAATTTTCATGTGAGGAGGGGCACTGGGAGTTCCTGCATTTCGGAGCAGTGTTGGAGGCTGTTTAAATATTTAGTGCCTGCAGAGTAGTTCAAAGCACTGGTGGTGTTAAGGACATTGTCATTTGTACCCTTCTCCTGGAGAAAGGGAAGATGTTTTTTGGCAGCATCGAAAGGTTCTTGGTGTGTTCCCTTCTTTAATCCTCAGCTCCTTCAGTCTCTCTGGTCTGCATGCCACCAGATAAGCATATGATTATAACTGAGCTGTACTTAAAAGATCAGCAGTGGAGCTTCACTCTGACCTGGCATTGCTTGGATTAATGTTTCTGCTGAGGACCTGAGGATATATGGATTCTTCAGCCACTGAGATCCACATATTCATCCCTGTATGTGGAATGTGTGTAAAGGTTTTCTTCACAACCAAATGAGCAGGGGACTGTAAAAGATGTACTTAAAAATAGTCTAATTTTAAGTCATTTGGGATGGATCCTGCTGTGAGACAACAGTAGGTCTTAAGCCACTGGAAAAATGGGAAGGGCCTGTGTGTCGGGAGTTTGGGAAAGCCAAAGGGACCTGGCAGAGGCTGGAGGCTATGAAAGAGCTCCAGGGTGGTGACAAAGGATCACTGTCTAAGGCAAGGAGGCACAGCCTCAGCTGCCTGAGACCAGGAGCCTCAAGGAGTGCTGCTGGTGCTGGAGCTGAGGGTTCCTGTGCTGAAGGCAGCTCAGAAGCTGCTTTCCAAGCTGCCCTGGAGAGAGGTGCAAGTTAAATTCTGGTGGTTGGGAAGTCCCTCCAGAAGCTGCAGGGCACAAACTCTGTGCTCAGCACAGATCTGGAGGGTTCCAGGGCAGGGAAGAGTCCTGAACACCAGCCCTGTGACAGGACAGAGGAGCACAGTTCCTTCACAGCTCCTCCCAGAGGTATCTCTCCTGTGACCTGTCCTGTTCCTTGTACTCTGACACCTTCACATGCTTGGCACTGCACATCAGAGCCACGTCTCCTCTGGGGAGGAACCGTGTCCTACCCACATGCTGTTGCTTTCTCTATTGTGTCTCTGCAGGGTGTGTATCTGACTGATGCCTATAAAATGGTAACTAGCATCCCCCTGTCCTCCACATCACCAAGGGCATGCTGGCTTTCTCTCTTGTGTTTTTTTTCTTTTGTTTTGCTTTGTTGTTTTTTTTTTCTCTTCCCACCCACTGGAATTTCTCTTCCTCTAAAGTACCCCTGATCTTGTTACCTTCATTGCTCCCCTTTCCTTTCCCCTCTCCAACCAAGAACGTGTGGATGGAGGTGCTGAGCAATCTGTCTCTGCCCTTTGTTTTCAAATATCCTGTAACAACATATGCCCCTTTGCTCCTTATGCAAAGGGACATATGCAAAAGCTCCTTTGCACCCACCTTATGCCCAGCTTCTACGGTTAAATTTTATCTAAGCTCATGGCATGCCTCCCATTCCACATCATCACTACCTGGTAGAGGCAGTAGGTGGAGGAACCACACCTAGTGTGGTACATTTACTTTGCTGACTCACTTGCACACTGTGAGGTGGGACTGAAATTAGTGGCTGAGCTGGGTCCAGAGCAGCTGTTAGAGATGGGGCAGAGCACCACTTCCCCCTGGCATTCCTGCTTTGTCCAGATTTAAATCTTCCCTTGGTTACTTGGGAGAGAAGGTTGAGAGGTCACTTGAGAGGGCAAAGCCTGGTCTCAAATTAGGAGGGAGCATTCCTATGGGGTAGAACGGACAGGAGCAGGAATTGTGCATGGTGCCATGAACATGGGGTAATGCTTCTTTCAGCCTCTTCCTAGTGATCTGGATTTCCAAGTGACTTTAAAGCAACAGGAAAAACTGCCATGAGAGAGGGAGGGTTGCACAGTGGGTGATGAGTAGAAGGTGGATCTTGCTCCTGTGGCAACCTACAACGGCATCCTGCTAATCCCAGCTCAGGGCTGAAGGGGTGTCACATGGGGGACTGCAGTGTGCCAGAGCCTTCCTTCTGTTCTCAGTCCGTGCCATGTTGTCCACTTCTGATGCTCCTCAGGGCTGTTCACTGTCTGATCAGAGAGATGGGGCAGGAGGGTAGAGAAGCTGAAATGGAAACCAGCTCTCTACAGCCCAAGCAGTGCAGTCAATGTGTCGAAGGAAAGCAGTAATTTGAACTTGAATGGACAAATGCATGAGGTGGGGAAGGAGAAGAATTAGAAATTCAGAAGGGTGCTCTGAGTATTGGGAGACTTGCTCTAGAATTTGCTATGTCTTACAGCCCCATAATGGGATCCCTACAGGGAGCTGGAGGGAGGCCTGTACTTCTGTGAGTTGAACTGGCAGCCTGTGGGGAGGCTGAAAGAGATGGGTTTGCTTCTCATTGCAAAGCAGAGGTTTCCCTTTTGCACAGTATGCCCCTAGAGGGAGACTGCCACTTGTTTGGAGAAATTTCCCAAGCCCTCCAGCTCTTCAAGCTGTTCATATTCACCCCAAAGATATGATTCGAAGCATTGATGTGAAACTAATTGTCCCTTTTGGGTCTGCTTCCATGGCAGGATCTGGGATCATGACGCCTTCACAACCCATCACAGCCAGCACCCCTGAGGGAAGCAGCTATGGTGCTATTGGTACAGTATCTTCCAGAACTGAGAACATGGGGAGGGTTCTGTTTGGAGCAGAAGAAACTTTAAGGTGCTTTAAAGCCAGAAAGGAGTAAACCAGCAAACTGTTTTAGGAGCAGCTTGCAACTACTTGGGAAAACAAAAATAAATAGCAGCTTGGGAAGTTCAGGTTGCACTTTAGGGCAAAACATCTACATCAGAAAGGTGACACATCTCTGGAAGAGGTGCCCAGAGAGGTTCTGTTGCTGGAAACGTTCATCTCAGTCACCTGATAAGTGTTGGTGTGTGCTGCAAGGCAAGACAGAATCACAGCTTATTGTGATTTCATTAGAGGAGAAATAATGTCATTCTGTCCACAGATGAACTATTCCCTTGTAGCAGAGGAGGAAGAAAACCTCTCAATGGTCCTGTTGATCAGAGATGATAGGCAGTGCCTTCCTTTGCCAGAGTATTTCTCAGTCCTTAGCAGCAGTTTTCCCTCCTGTGGAGGGATTGGTATTGAGTAGCTCAGTGTTGTGGGCTTCTGAGCTTAATCCTTGAATTTGACAGCCTGGGGACCCGTGGTGCAGGTCCAAGGCAGCATGAGGCAGCTGCTCATATCGGTGTAATTTTTGGTCCTTGCTCAGGATGCATTTGTTCACTGTGGTATAAAGTCAGCCCTGATACTCCAGATGTCATCCAGTTATTAGACTGTGAAGGTGTGATATCTCTGAATGCTTGACAAAGAAACACAGAACTGATACTTCATGGGGTTTTGGAAAAATTCAGGAGGATTTAAGTCCTGGAATAGAGGGCTTCAGCACCATCCTGTCCCCCTTCCCCAGTTCCCAAGGAAACGCTTTAAAAGCATTTGGGAAATGAAGAAGAAACTTCTGTTCTGCTCATGTGAGGATGAGCAATGGGCTGGCTGGGAGCTTGGCAGCTTTCTTCTTGCTATGCACAGAGGGATTTAGCCTTTACCCTGCCGGTTTCCTTCTCCTCGCTCTGCTCCAGATGAGTCAAGCTCCAGTGGTGGACGACGGTTTTCTTCCCCAGAGGGCAGGCCGCGGGCTGGCTCTGACACAGACAGCTCTGTGGAGGAGGAGAGTGACTTTGACACCATGCCAGAGATTGAAAGTGATAAGAACATCATCCGCACTAAGGTACGGCTGGCACGTCAGTTGTGGCCGTGATGCTGGGCCATGGACACACCTGTGCCAGGACCAGCACTAGTCACTTCAGTTTCAGATTCTCTCTTTTAGGTGGATCTAATTTAATAAAGCTGAATGTGCTGCTTAGTGGGGTTTGTCAGAGTCTAGAAAGTTTTCATGCTGTACTGTGTTGCTGAAATGAGCAATTTAGTGTGGAAAATCAGAATGTATTGGGAACTATTGAGAAAGGAGGAAGAGGCACAGAGTGTCCCAGAAAGTCCAAGGAGGTGCAAGAACATAGGGAGAAAATAATATGCAATAGTGGGTCATTACTTGGTATGAGCAGTGTGGCTACAGTGGATATGCAGATGAGCTTTAAGCTAGCAGTTCTCAAAATGCCTTCTTTTGTCAACCCATGCTGCTCCATGTGGTCAGAGCCATTCCTGGAGGTCAGAGGGTTTTGCAGAACTCATTCCCCATAGGATCAACGGACACAATGAGCTTACTGTTTAAAAAATGGTCCAGATAACACCAAGCTGCATGTTGTCCCAATACTTCTGTAGTCTTTATTAGTTCTTTTCTGTTCTGTCTTTTGCTTCCCACTAACATTTTAGGTGTTCCTCTATCTGTCAGACCTGTCCAGGAAGGACCGAAGGATTGTCAGCAAAAAATACAAAATCTATTTCTGGTAAGAAGAAGACAAACTGATAAGGCCCAAGCTCTGGAACCAGTCTCTGGTTGTGAAGTCTGCCCACATGCCCTTCTGACCAACACTTTAGACATGATGGTATTCCTTGAACCACCCTGCTACACGTTCTGACCCTGTTCCAACCAGTAACTGCAGATCCACATACCTCAAATAAGGATATTTGTGGACCAGTGCACATGTGATCCTGGCAATGGATTCTCATTTGCATAATTGCTTTAAAGTGTGGTAACAACCAGTGTGCTGGAACATACTGGGGGAGGGGAGAAATTGGCTCTCAAACATGTGAGTTTGTGGTCCACATGCTGCTTTTTCTTGTGCCTTTAGCATTTGCCTCACGTTTGTTTAATCTCCTGCTTCAGAAGATCATAGCCAGAGGTATAAATCTTGCAGGGTCTGTGCCCTTAGGCATCAAAGTGTACACCTTCCTCTACAAGCACTGTGAGGATCTGTCCTGGGTGTGCACCAATTGTTTTGGTGTGTGTAGCTGCTGCTACTGTCTCTTCTCTGCAGGAACATCATCACCATTGCAGTGTTTTATGCCCTGCCAGTCATCCAACTTGTCATCACTTACCAGACGGTGAGTTGGGTTCTGTCTGTCCCCCTTGTTTGGATCCTCTTGTCCTTTAACTTGCTCTGTGGTTGCATGGTGTAAGTGTGGCAGTCACAGTGAAACCCGGGAATCCTGCTAGGCTGAGGAGCTTACCTTAGCTGCTCTCTCTGCTCTGTGTCAAGTGTAGCATGGCTTTCCAAGCTTGAGTTCTGCTAGTTTTGCTTGGGAAGTGGGAGTGTAGCTGGCTTTCCTGCTCATCTGATGTCTTCATTTTAAAGGCAGGAGGAATCTGCTGTTACATCTAAAAGACAACTGAAAGCAAGTAGGGTTTGCTATGATATGAGCGATTTCTTTTCTCCTCACCCTTGCTATCCTGCTGTTATTCAGGTATCTGCAAGCAGATCTATTTTAGTGGTGGGGTTGAGAGCACAAAATGTGTTTCCTCTGAAGTCCATTGTCAGGTTTGTGGCCTGTGGCAAGATCTTATCGTATGAAGACAGGCTGAGAAACTTGGGGCTGTTCAGCCTGGAGAAGATAAGCTGCCTGGAGACCTCAGAGCAGCTTCCAGTGTCTGAAGGGGGCTACAAGGGTTCTGGAGAGGGACTCTTCATCAGGGACTACAGCGATAGGACAAGGGGTGATGGGTTTAAACTAGAACAGGAAAAGTTCAGGTTAGATATAAGGAAGAAGTTGCTTACTGTGAGGGTGGTGAGGCACTGGCTGGCACAGGGTGCTGAGAGAAGTGATAAGTGCTCCATCCCTGGCAGTGTTCAAGGCCAGGTTGAACAGAGCCTTGGGTGACATGGTCTAGTGTGAAGTGTCCCTGCCCATGGCAGGGGGTTGGGACTGGATGATCTTAAGGTCCTTTCCAACGCTAACCATTCTATGATTCTATGAATCACAGAACAGTTTGGATTGGAAGGGACCTTCAAAGGTCATGTAGTCCAGCCCCTCTGTAATATTGTCCACCCACGAAAAGCTTCACTGCAGATGTAAGTACCCCACTGCACCAGTGTTAGAGCTAGGCTGTGTCCTGGTACACCTTGTGTTACATGCTGTGTTTGGATGAAGCAAACCCCACAGAACAAGGAGGATATGCTAATACTGGGTCTTGCACCTCCTCTTTGTCCAGGTAGTGAATGTGACAGGCAATCAGGACATCTGCTACTACAACTTTCTGTGTGCTCATCCCCTTGGGGTGCTGAGGTGAGTGAGCCCTGTGGTCACTGCATTATTGTCTTGTGCCTCCTGAGAGTTTGTGCTGAGCCCAGATCAGGATATTATCCTTGCCAGGTTCATAATAAGAGTATTTAGACCACTGAGAGTTTAGGGCTCTGAGCTTTCTCTTTTGCTCAGTAGTGGCTTTCTGTTGCAGTGAGACACATGCATCCAGGATCAGATGGCATGTGGGTTCTCCTATCAAACCTATGGCACAGCAGAGAGGTGCTCCCATGCTCTTCCGGACACTTTCATTTGTATCCAATGAGCAGCAAAGAAGTTCAGATGAGACCTTACCGTGCAGTGTTCCTCTGAACTAATGTGGGAGTGCAAAGACAGCTCAGAGTTGGGATCTTGCCCCAGTGCATTTAACACTCTCTCTGCAAGTGAACTACTCAACCTAAAGTTGCAATCCAGGGTGTAAAACTGGCAGGTGTTTGGTAGCTGCTGAGGTGGAGGATGGGAGGGGGGGAGCAAAATGGATTCAGCTTATCAGGGCTCAGAGTTTAGCTTCCTGCTGCTGTGCTGCCTTTGTCTTAAACCTTCTTTTTCCCTGCAGTGCCTTCAACAACATCCTCAGCAATGTGGGCCACATGCTGCTGGGCTTTCTGTTCCTCCTCATTGTGTTGCGCAGGGACATTCTCCACCGTCGCGCCATGGACATGAAAGATGTCTATACGCTGGTAGGAAGCACGGCTGCATGGAGCTGAGTGGAGGGAGAAAAGACAGAGAGAGCTTGCAAAGCAGAGTGATGCACAGTGGGTTTCCCTTTGCCTTCCTTGCTGGAGAATTCAATCCTCCTCTTTTTTCCAACGCTGGAAAAGGGTCTCAGTGGGATGCTTACATTCTTGCACACCCCAGTACTTGGCTGTTTACAGTATGTCCATACTGCCTTAGTGATCCAGCCTGGGCTTGCAAAGACAAGGAGATGAGTAGAGGTCTCTGTGCTGCACTGGTGACTGAAGGATGTGTGTAGGGTTTAGAAGGGGTGGAGTGGGGGAGAGTGGAAGCTTGCTTGACATCAGAACAGTGAGGGTACTTGCTATACAGCTCTGCTCTCTTCCAGGACTATGGGATCCCAAAGCATTTTGGTCTCTTCTATGCTATGGGCATTGCTCTGATGATGGAAGGGGTGCTCAGTGCCTGTTATCACGTCTGCCCTAATTACTCCAATTTCCAGTTTGGTAAGCTGAATTTCCTTCAAGCGTTTGAGCTGGAGGTAGGATTTAGCATGCTTTGTCTTCTGCCGAGTTGCTCATTTTTCACACCCCTCTACCTTTGCAAACTTCCTTGGAGACTGCCTGTTCCAGGGCTCAGTCAGGAGGCAGTGAGTCTTTGGCTTCGGATGCTGGGGACTAACACATTTCAGCCTCCTCTCCAGACCCTGGGACTCTGGTAGTGCACTGCTGGCAAGATCTCCCTTTTGCAGCTCAGTGTTTGAAGACGGTAAGCAAACAGCTTGAGTGGCAAAGTGCTCAAGCCTAGGAAGCGTCTGTTTGCCATCTCTGTGGAACATTTCCTCTGTGGGCTCCTTTGGCTTCCTGAGGAAGAGAAGACTGAGGCTGGTTTTTGTCTATGTGCATAAATACCCAATTAGAATGAAGATGTGTGAACCAGATTCTTCTTAGTAGTGCCCAGTGGCAGAACAAGAGGCAATGGCCACAGATTAAAACACAGGAAACTCCATCTGAACACAGGAAAATGTACTACTGGCAGTACCTGTTTTAACTGTTCCTGTTGTGCTCCCTCCATAGACACCTCTTTCATGTACATGATCGCAGGACTGTGCATGCTGAAGCTCTACCAGACTCGCCACCCAGACATCAATGCCAGTGCCTACTCTGCCTATGCCTCATTTGCTGTGGTGATCTGTCTGGCCGTCCTTGGAGTGGTATGGGTCATTCTTACCTACCTGCTTCTGTGGGAAGGAGATGATGTGCTTAAGTGGGCAAGTGACTGGGGAGAGCAGCAGAGTACGATACGGGCGTGTTAAGCAGCTGCTAGCATTTGAATTTCTGGTACACTGGGTTTTCCTTCTTCCTTCCCCTGGGCTTGCAGGGGGGGGAAGAGCAGAGCAGTTTTCTCTAGTTGGGCTCCTTTTTGGGCTTTGACCACCACATGCCTACCTTCTTAAGAGGAAAAATTTGTGCATCCAGTGTGTGTGTGTGTCCAGGCATGCAGCTGGTCTCCTGCATGGTGGCTCAACTTGGAGGAGGAGGCTGAGGCTGGCTGAGCTTCCAGGAGAAGCCCTACCAAATTGCTTGTGCCTCTTTCTGCCCTTTGGAAAACGTTGTGTTTTCTGGGCACAACTCCTGCAGTTGGCCTTCCTCTTTTTGGGGAAGTGCAGGGCTGCAATAACAGCCTGCGGGCTCCCAGGCAAGTTTCTGGCTTGGACCTGCTTGTAGAAGGCACTGGAGCAAAAGGAGTCACTAGAATTGCTCTTGTGCACCAGTAGTCACAGACAGGTCAGATTTGTACAGGGCTTTGCCCATTTGCTCGTAGCATTGCAATTACTGAGCTGGGCCTGCATGAATCCCCAACCTGTGCTTGGAGGTCTCTGCTTCCCTTCTTTTTAAGGACTTACTTCCATTCAGGTGCTCTGAAGCAGCAGCTAGATCCCAGTGGGCTGTCAGCCCCTTACTACCACACGTAAAGCAGAGTATCAATTGATTCTGCATAGGCCTCTGAATAGGAGACTGTCCAATAAGGCATGCAGGAGCACCTAGTGAACCTGAGACCTTCTAAGAATCTCTTGGTAGCTCTGGTAGATCTGTACATTCAGGTTCAAAACACTGGGGTTTTATTATGGGATTATTATCTTCTCTTGTGTGATACTTTTAAGCTGCTCAGTGGAGCTTGTAAGCTGCATGTTTCCCTTGCTTTGTTGATATAGAGGTGGCTTTTCTGCTTGATTCCCCCACCAAAGTTCAGGTGAGTGCTGTGCCCCAGGGGAGTGTGTGGTGAGAGCCTGATGGCAGACCTGAGTTTCTGGACTCCTTAATGTATAATGAAAAACTAAGGTTTTAATATAGCATTAACATGCATTTGTAATTCACTTCCAGATCTTAAAGTGAAAGTGTGGAGCAATTGCCTGCAGGGCAGTTTTGTGCCTTTTGGTCTACTGCAGTGCAGTTGTTAATGTTTGGTTCCCTGACAGCCTTTGTAGAAATCCAGCTCCTTTCCAGCTCAGCAGAAAAAACTTCCCTGGCCTGAGGGTCCCTCCATTTCTGCTCCCTGAACCAGCTGCTGTTTTTCACTGAAGGGGTGTTTAGAAAGAATGGTCTCCTCTCCAGAATACTGAGCTCCTCTTGCTTCTCTGAACTTTGTTTTGCATTTATAGATCTGTTTTCAGATTGGAAGGTTAGGGGTTTCTCTTCCACACTCAGTGAGGTTGTCTAATGCCCCACAATGATATAGGACAGGAAAGGATTAGGCTGCTGATAACTGAGCTCTTTGCTTTCAGGTGTTTGGGAAAAATGACATCTGGTTTTGGGTCATTTTCTCAATAATCCATGTTCTGGCCTCGCTGGCTCTCAGCACACAGATCTACTACATGGGTCGCTTCAAGATCGGTAAGTGCTATGATTGAACCAGCTTGCTCCCAGGTGTGCAGGTGCCTCCTGCCCTCAGCTGCATGAGTTGCCTATGCAGCATGTCTGTGAGCACAGTCTCATGTCCTGTGCTTGTATTCTGGGTTATCCTGTCCTCTTATCCATCTGATGCTCTTCTGGCATCTTCTGAAGTGCGCTGCTGCTGCTTCCCATACCCATGGGAGTCAGCAGGACCTGTTTGCACTGTGGGGGCAAAAGAGCTGGGCTCTGAGGGTGCCTGCCCTTCAGCTACAGCTCTCCCTAGCACTGTGCTCAGAGTAGTGAGCTACATAAAACCCTATCATGGGATGAGAGGGAAGAGGGTTTGGTGGGGAAGCTGGCTCTTGTGCTCTGCTTGCAAATGTATTTCTCCTTCCTTTTCTGCTCCTGTCTGCCTCAGATGGCTCTGAATCAGGTAACTGTCAGCAGCACTCATTTTTTCTCTGTTGAACTGATCGAGCAGGGGTGTAGCAGCCAGATATGCATGGATGTGTGTAGGGAGGCAGGCTCGTGTGCCACCTGGGGCGGGCTCTTGAGAAGCGAAGTCAGTTTGCCAGCAGCACTGCCAGTCCTGTTCCTTGGCAGGAAGGTGCTGATGCAGCACAGGAGAGCTCTGATCTTCGTGCAGGAGCCTTTTCAAGCTCCACATTTGTGGTTGGTGTGTGTGTATGCATGTCTATCAATCCCGCTGCTACTGATGGCTCTCCAGTGAAGCTCCTGCAGTGATTTTCAGAGCAGGAGTGTCTTGAGTCTGCTCTGGCCCTCTAGGACCCTCTCAGGGCTGTGGGATCTGTTCCTGATGTTTCCCTGCTCTGGCAGCTTGTTCCGTGGAAGGTGATTATTTTTCTCCCCCCCTTCCTGCACAAACATCTCTTCCAGAGATGAGATTGCAAAGCTTTACCTGTTGTTCTGGCCACATGCCATCCACATCCTGTGGAGGCTTCCCTTCTGCTCCCAAAGGGCAAGAAATGAATCTGCTGACACCTTGACCACCCACAGGCTGGGTTCTCTGTTGTCAGCTAGCTAGTGGGTGTCTGTGTCTTCCCCCATAGGCATTTCAGAGCTCACTCTGCTGGCTGTTCTGGCTTTTTATCCTCTTCTTTGACAGACTTGGGGATGTTTCGACGGGCAGTGATGGTGCTGTACACAGACTGTATCCAGCGGTGCAGTCGACCAATGTATATGGTAGGTGATTTGTCACCTTGGCACCTCTCTTAGCAATTGCTCATTTTCTAGGCAATGTGCAGAGGAAAGAGATGTGGCTGTTTGAGGGATGATGCTCCCTGCTTCCCCTCCTTGCTTTCCCCAAAATTCAAAGGGATGGCTATGAGGCTCTGTGCAGTGCAGCCTCTTTGGGGAGGGCAGTGACTATTTTGTTCAGTGGCTTAATCAATAGCTATTGCTATTTCTACAGCACCTCAGGGCAGACAGCAAGAAAAGGTAAGAAATGGTAGCTGCTAGCTTGTGTCCCACTGATGACTTTCTTCTTGGCACAGGGTGCTAATGAGGGCTTGAAGCCAAATGAAGCTTTATCCATGAGCATCCTGTTTATATGTTTTTCAATGAATGTACTCCCCTATCTCTGAATAAGTGTCAGCCCAAGTTTTGCAAGCAAACTTGGTACACTCAGGCATAAAGTAAGGCTGGCTGGACTGAAAGAGCTGCATCCTAGAGTCGTAGAATAGTTAGGGTTGGAAAGGACCTTAATGAAAGCAGCTGTAAGCATAAATGCACGCGCTCCACAGATCTAATATGTCTGCCTGCTGCAGTTCCAGGGCTTCCCTAGCTAATGATGAGATGGATGAAAACAGGCCCTGTGGCTATGTGCAGGATGGTATTGCAAAGCTTCCCTTGCTGCCTCTTTCAAGCACGTCCTCCCTCTGTGCAATAATTTTTCTGTGAAATGGAGGGAGGGAAGGAATCTTGCTAGAAAAATAGTGGAAACAGTCAAAGGCTTTGCAGAACCTCCTGGGGCTGATTCTTAAGTGCTAGGCTTGTGCTTCTTTAGATATTTAGTCTCCTTGCAATGCTTTCTTCAGATTTGCAAAGGCCAGAGCAGTTTCCATCTGGAAAAAGCTCCTGCAGCGCAAACTTCAGAGCCAGGTGCACATGTGTTTGCAGGAGCCAGATTCCAAATCCTCACATAATGATATCATGAATTCCTGAGGCAGAAACCTCTGTGCATTTCCTTCTGCTTTCATATGATCACCGGTGTCTTCTCTCCCAGGACAGGATGGTGCTGCTCATTGTTGGAAACCTGGTCAACTGGTCCTTGTAAGTAGTGGGGTGCTGGTGTCCTGTGTAAACGTGGGCAGCAGGATAGTGATATACAGGTGGCCTGAATTGGTGGGGAAACCTGTGCCAGTGCCTCACCACCCTCACAGTAAAGAACTTCTTCCTTATATCCAACCTGAACTTCCCGTTTCAGCTTGAACCCACTGCCCCTTGCCCTATCACTGCAGTCCCTGATGAAGAGTCCCTCTCCAGCATTCTCGTAGCCCCCTTCAGACACTGGAAGCTGCTTTGAGGTCTCCATACAGCTTCTCTTCTCCAGGCTGAACAGCCCCAATGTTCTCAGCCTATCACAGGATGCAGTACAGCACTACAGAGCTAGTGAGGCATCCCTGAGCATTTCAGCTGGTGGCTTGCATCTGGTTGAGCTTGTGTAGGGCTGTCTGGTACTATGCTGTACATGTGCTTTCTGTGTAGCTGGAAGGTGGCGCAGCCAAGGTGCAGGAGACTTGACAGACACTTGTGAGTCACAGTCACAGAGCCTGGCTCAGCAGTATCTGTGTGGATGGGAGGAGTTAGCTCTTGGATGAGACCTAAGATCATTATGAAAAGCTCTTGCTTTTCACTAAAAGGTGCTTCTCGGGGACATGCCTTCTGCTAAACCTACAGGTGTGGAGCCAGCTCCTATTGGGCAAGATGGGTTTGGCTGTGGGTTGGAAGCAACCCAGGGCCCTTGCCTGTCCTCTGGGGTCTCCGGTTGCTCTCAGGCATTGACCATGGCCAAGTTTGCTTGGCAGGGAGCAGAGGCAAACAGTGCAATTCCTGCAGGGAACTGGGAAGCTGTGGCAGTGTTGTTGTGCCTTGTGGTTGGTGGGCAGTGGGTGGCTGTCAGTTTGGGGATGTACCCTGTCCCCAGTGTAAAGGGCTGTCTAACATCCCTTCTTCCCTCTCTCTTAGTGCCATCTTTGGGCTGGTGTATAGGCCCAGAGACTTCGCCTCCTACATACTGGGGATCTTTATCTGTAACCTCTTGCTATATCTGGCTTTCTACATCATCATGAAGGTAAAGGGAGGCAGCTGTAGCTGTCCTGTCCCTGGGGCACCTGTCTCAAAGGGGAAAGGATGGGTATCTTTATCTGGCTGCAGTTTGTGTTCCTGTGGTGCTGCTGAGGGATGTGGATGGGTCTTTGTGGGGCTAAGGGTGCGACAAGGTGTTGGTGTTGGGGAGGGATGCTGTGTAGCCATCTTGGGGTGGCTGGGCTGTATTTCCCTGGGATGGGGCGCCCTTTGTAGCTGCAGCTGGTCCTGGCTGGCATGTCATTCCTGTGCATGCCTCCAGACGCTGGGAAGGGCTCAGGGCATGATGTTAGGCTACTTACCTATCTGCAGCTCCGCAGCTCTGAGAAGCTCCTGCCCGTCCCCATGTTCTGCATTGTGGCCACAGCAGTGGTGTGGGCAGCTGCCCTGTACTTCTTCTTCCAGACCCTCAGCAGCTGGGAGGTAAAGTTTCCCTTTCCCTGACCTCCTGTCCATCTCTGTCTCATCATTCTTCCTTCCTGTTGTTTGTTTTACACAAAAGATACTCTGGGGAAGAGTCTTGGGCTGCTCCTGGAGAGCTGAAAGGGTTCAACCCCTTCAGCAGACTGGGATGGGAGCGTGGGAAGCTGCGTGGGGACTGTGTAGCTTATGCTATGCGGAACCTCAGGTGTGGAGACCAGAGGGACACCCAGATGTGGGCGGTGGCCCCAGATTCATCTCCAGGTCTAAGTACGACGTTGCATTCCTGCCCTTCTCTTGCCACATGTCCAGCCAGCACTGTCCTTTTTCCTGGCTTCTGCATGGAGAGCTAAGACGGGGCGTTCTCCAGAGGGTCCAACATGGCCAGAAAGGTCCCTGTATGAGTGGCTATTGGATAGTGACCCCTTGTCTGCTCCCCTAGGAGACTCCAGCAGAGTCCCGGGAAAAGAACCGGCCGTGCATCCTGCTGGGCTTCTTCGATGACCATGATGTTTGGCACTTCCTCTCTGCAGCTGCCTTGTTCTTCTCCTTTCTGGTGAGTCCTGCTGGGCCTTCCACTCTGCTCTGTGGTCTCACTCTCTCCTCTTCCTTCATGTCCCTCTGTGTACATGGAGCTGTGGCTGCCTCAGGACCCCACAGAAGTGCTCAACTTCTCTGCTTGGCTCTGCCTCCTGACACCCTTCACAGTAGGATCAGGCTTTGTCAGTTGGCTTGTTGCTCCCTGTGCTTCCTGACATCAAATTCCCTCTGGGCTGTGGGTCGCACAGCTATTGTGGGGAAGCTAAGGGGCTGCTGGTGTGATCAACCCTCTCATAGGTTTGTGAGGACCTCCCAGGAAGGGACCCTACCCCCTTTGACCCAGGCAGTAGAGTCACTGGTGTGGAGCTCACCTCTCTCCTCAGCTTTCCATCACTTCCATAATTGTCTCCTATGCTCCTTTACTTGGAACCTCTTTTCAGGCCTGATGGTCTGTGCAGTGGCAAAGGTGGAGGCATCCCCTGTGATGGGGTCAGAGCATATTGTTTTGGGGAAGTAAAAAGGGGGACCTTAACCCTAGCTGCACAAGGTGCAAACTGTGAAGGAACTGCCTGGCCACTTGCAATGCCTGAGCTGTGGTCAAGCAGTTCCCACCCTGCTGCCTCCTGGATGGCTCTCCAGAGGCTAGGACCAGTTTACAAGCAGCATCCCTGTCATAGTTGAGGCATGATTACCTGCTCAGGTTCTGGCAGCACTGTAGGCAGAGCTACCTGTCAGCTGTGCTGCTGGAGTGACTTGCTAGGAGCATTACAGAAGCAAAATGAATCTGGCTTATCTCCATGGGTTGCAGTTGTGACACCTGTACATGCTGGAGATGTGGCCCAGGTGGAACCCCCCTGTGATGAGATGCTGTGAGGAGCTGGTCAGTCTCCCCAGCTGTGGGCTGGCCAGTGAGACCTGAAGCTGCCTCGTGCTTTCCTCCTCAGGTCCTGCTGACCCTGGATGATGACCTGGATGTGGTGCGCAGGGACAAGATCCCGGTGTTCTGAATGCTAGGGGATGGGGGCGCAGGGGCGTCCCAAACTGCTCAACCAAAGCCATTGGGCCATTGGCATCTGTGGGGAATGAGCCTGCTCCTGTGGCCAACAGCCCTGTGGGAGCAGGGGAGCCAGATCCCACAGCAAGCGTGAAGGTGCTGCAGTAACTGAGGTGGGACTGGGAGGGAAGATGCCATTTTCTCCTTTCTCAGCACATCCTCTGGGGCAGGCGTGACCCAGCGCTGAAGCCCGTGCACAGCCCTTTGGCTTGTAGGTGCAGCAGGTGCTGGAGCCAGTGAAGAGGGAGGAAACTGGAGGTGTGTTTGAGACCTTGGCTTCCCTTCCTCCCTGCTGATGTGCTCCGCTTCCTGTCTGGTGAGCGGGCTTGAGAAGTGCAGTGCAGGTCCTCCTGCATTGGCAGCTGGTGGCCTGTGCCCTGCAGGCTGCTGCCCTCTGATAGTTCCTTTGGCATCATGGGGAGAGTGTTCGGTTCCTGTCCTGCAGCTGCCAAGGAAGCAAAGGACTTCAAACTGAGGTGGCAGTGGGATGCTGCTCCTGTAGCTGGTGGGGAGCCATGGTAACAAACCACTGCAGTGTTGCAGGGAGATGATGGACTCGGGTTGCCCACCAGTGCTCTGCCAGAGGCAGAACCTCCCGCTTTGCTCCTGCAGCCCCTCTCTTACTTGTGTTGAACAGCATCAGTTCTCTCTGGTGACTTCCACGCAGGCACTTAGTGTGATGGTATCCTTCACAACACCAGAACTGCTGTCCTCAAGGGGCCCTAAGAAAGTGTGGCGAGGCTGCAGCCTTGTGCCCTGGGCAGCCTTGTGCCCTTGGTTCCTGCTGTGTGGGCTTGTTGAAGGAACAAGGTGGAAGGGAGAGGCCATCCAGCAGCCTCAGACTTTCTCCTTTCACAAGCTGGCTTTAGGTAAACTTGGCAAAGCAGGATCCCTTTTGGGCTGGGAATGTGGAGGAGGTTTTGGGGCAGTTGGGGTTGAGCTCTTTGGCTAAAGATCTGGACCAAACTTCCCTGCTCTCCAACTTTTCTGCATCTGGAATAAGTTTTTAAATGGCTTCTGCATTCTTCCTCAGTTCTTAGTTATTTAAAAAACAAGAATAAGGTGTGAATTATTTCAGGCCTTGCACTTAAAATGTGACCTGTTTTGCTAATTTTGAATTAAAAAAGTATTCTTTGAGGCCTGCTGTCCTTATTCTTGTCATTGTCTGAGCATTTTTCCTTTGGAGTATGTGCATGTACCTGGTGATGCAAAGGCTCCATTCCACTTGTGCTTACCGAAGCAGAAGGCGGTGGTAATTTTCTACTTGGAGAAGTCTGCATCTCCTGGTAAGGTTTTGCACCGGTTGGTGTTTATTTTACTTTTCCTAAGTTGGTGTTTGTCAAGACGGTCAATAAAATGAATGTTCCTGGTTCTCTGCTCTGCAGAATGAGCTGAATTCTTCTTGCTCCAGCTTTCAGCAGCAGCAGCGAGAGCACTCAGGGCAGAGGGGTACCAATGGTGTCACACAGCTGCTGTCATCCCTAGGACCCTCACAAAGCTGAACGTAGGTGCAGATGACCTGCTTGCCTTTGTGAGGCTAAATAGAGTAAAGAACAGACACTTGTTTCTCACTGAGGCCCCTTCAGCAGGGTGAGGAGAGGCTGGAGGAGGAATGACACAAGAGGCTGCTGGCTGTTAACCTTCCCAGAGATGGAGCTGTGTTTCAGGCAGGGCATGCCAGAACGAGCAGGTGGTGGTCCTTGTGTGCTGCCTTACATTACAGTGCTTTGGGCATGACGTGGGAGGTTTGCCATGTGGATGGAGTCGTGAATGATTCTTGTTGGAAATAGCAGCATATTTCTCAGGCTTGTTGTAAAGGACAAGCTTCTCTTCCTTAACAGCATTAACATGGGCTGCAGGGAAGGAGATGACGCTTGCTTTTGTCTGAGTAGCACCAGCAGAGGAGCATCAAGCTTAGGGTAGCCCACACTTTGCATTCAGCCACCCTGCAGCCTTGCCATATGTTCTTGGCTAGTCGGGCTTGCCCACAGCTTCTTTTCTTCCCAGAAAGTGTCTGCCAGCACTAGCAGGTTCAGCACCAGCTCCCAATAAGTGCTAAACCAAAGGGAAGCCTCCACTGGAGTCAAGGCTTGTCTTGCTCCTCTGGGAGCTGGAGGGAGATGTGTAGATCTCATCTAAGGTGGGAGCTTGACAAAGATGGGAGGCAATTCTGGGGTGATTAAAGGTGCTTGAAGTGAAGATACTGCCCTGCTGCTGCATGAGGCTCAGCAGTTACAGCATCTGCCTCCTGTAGGAGCTTCACTACCTTTTAATCCTGTAACTGCCTGGTTTCTCCGGTGTCCATACACCAGTCATATCTTGCAGCTGTAAAGTGCTCCAGAGCTCACTGAATGCCTTCATATGAAGTGGACAAGTCTGGCCAGAGACTCCTGTGTGGTTTCTTATGAGAATTAGCAAATCCTGCCTCCCTCAGTTCCCTTGAGACAGAGAGATGGGGAGAAGAGCGGCACTAGTTCAAACACACGTTGGTCTTGGCAGATGGTCAGAACCGGTGAGCAAACAGGTATTGAGGTGAGTGGAGAGCAAGACTTGGAGGATCCAGTGTTGGATCCTGCTGTTCGTGAGTCTAACCTGAAGTGCTCTTTGCTCACTGTGCTGTCTTCATGCCCCTGCTTAGTCAGGTACAGGATGGGCTCTTGGCCTTGCAGGACTGTCCTTACCCTGTGTTTAGGTGTGGAGAAGGCTGAGCAGCTTTTCCTCTTCTACAAGTATGTTCTGCTCTTGGTATATTTTGTGGTGTGCAGACATCAAGGACATGGGATAAGGTCTTGGAATAGTAGGACAATCATTTCTGTGCCAGACTGAAGAACGGCTTGTGTGCCTCAAAATTTGTCCAGTTTTGGGGGTGCGTTTTAATTCCTTCTCTGTGCGTCTTCCATAGTTTATAATCTCAGACCTTGTTCCAAGCTTGTTTTCTTTCTAGCTGGAAAGCCGGTATCTTCAATAAATAGGGACGTCAGAAAAAACTCACGTTGAACAGCAGTTGGAAGGCTCAACGTAGGAGGTAGAAGAGCAACATATGGGCTCACTGAGCTAAGCAAGGATGAGCACAGTATAAAAAGGGGAAGGTGGTAGTAGTGAGGGAGGGAGGGCAGAGAACAGCACAGAACAAGCAGGAAAACATGCAGTAACTTTAAATAAATACAAGGAAAGGCAGCTCTAGCCTCAGAGACAGGAGAAAGGGATGGAATTGTCTCCCTGCTGCTTCTGTGCCTCCACTTTTGCCCTGTCTGCTGGTCTGTGCTTGTACTTCAGCTCTTCAGGCCCAGCCTGACTCAGCGGCTGCAGCACTGCCTTCATGGTTCTGCCTGGTGGGTGCCTGGCTGGGCCCTCGGGCAGCTCCGTGTCAAGCTCTGCTCTGCAGCCCCCCTGACCAGCAGCGTGTGCTGTTAGTGCTTCTGTCCTCCTCCAGGTGACTGCCCTCAGGGAAGGTAGAATCAGAGAATCATGGAATCAGCCAGGTTGGAAAAGACCTTTAAGACCATCCAGTCCAACCGTTCCCCAGGAATGCCAAGGCCACCACTAACTCATGGCACTGAGGGCCTCGTCTATGCTGGTTATGAACACTTGCAGGGACGGTGACTCCAGCGCTGCCCTGGGCAGCCTGTTCCAATGCCTGAGCACCCTCTGGGGAAGGAATTGTTCCTAATCTCACTGTAGGGGCTGAGGAACGGGCCTGTCTGGGAATGGTGGCTGCCAGCATAACAGTGTTCCTGAGCAGGAATGACTGCCCAAAGCTGCTTGCAGTTCCTCATTAAATACTCATCTTGTGATTTGGCAAATAAGCTGATGTTTGCTGGTTTTTACAAGCAAAAACCCTGTTAACACTCAGCTTAGTATAATTGTTGTGTTACAGCTCCTGCAGCGCCTTCCCTGGGCCTCCCCCACCTGTCCAAGTGCAGTGCTGTGGTTGGGTCAAGGGATTTTGGGTGCTCCACAGCTGTGAGATCAGTAGGCTCTGCTCTACCTGCCCCCCCCGTCTCTTCCCTGTTCTGTGCTCTTCTCTTTCCACAGTTCCTGAAGGTGTCTCCTGCTCTCCCAGAGCTGTACTGCCCTGGGTACGCAGGGGCGGCGGGTACCACCATCCCAGGCTCCCTGTTGCATCAGGAAATGGAGGCAAAGTTGTTGTTCTGCCAACTCAAAGGTGACAAAAAGAGCTTTTGTATAATAATACTAATACTCCCTCACAGTTTAGAAAAGTGAATTATGGATTATGAGGATCACACAAACTGACACTGTTACAGCCAGTACCACCACCTCTGAGATGGCAGAACAGCCAAGGCAGGGGCAGCACAATACATTTTGAACTGTGAGGGCATGGTTTTAGGGGAGATCTTAAATACAGACTATCTGTGCTTGTTAAACTGAGGGAAAAGGATCTTGGGGTTAGCAGTGACGGCAACATGAACTGAGTTTAGCAGTGCTGTTAACAGGGTGTATTTGAGACTGAGGTGTGGTGCTGGGGCTATGTTCCAGCTCCAGCTTAAGATGGGAGAAGAAACACTTTGAGCCTGTTTCACTTGTGCTTCTGGATATGGTTTCCTTCATGTGCATGTGGCCACACCACGTGTTTGTATGAGCCTTGAGGGCCCTCCTCACCCCCAGCATCTTTCAGCCTGGACCTCACTGCCCTTGGGTGCTGCTGGGGTCTCACAGAAACTGCAACAGCAGCCCTGTTCCATGTCCCACACATCACTGTACCCACTGCAGTTAGCCAGGGGTGAGGGCATCAGCCCATGGCTCCTGTCCTCTTTCCCCTCCCTTTACTGTGACAGAGCAGGTTGCTACGGCAGGAATGCCACCTTTACCAGGGTGCTGGCAGCATGCTGCCGCTGACGTTGGGGCTGATGCTCCTGGGCAGTGCTGGGTGCAGTTAACCAGCCCTCCCTGGCACCTCTTGGGCCAGAACTGCCCTTTCAAGGCTGGGCAGACAGGCTGGGAGTTGGTTACTGTGGCTGTTCAGAGACCACTGGTAGTCCTGCACACAGCTTCTTGATAGTCTGAACCCCAGTGAGCTCTGAACAACTGCCATCATTAAACTGCAGTTACTGCCTGTCACTGAAGGAACAAAATGGAAGCTCATCTATCATAATACTAAGTTTTAATTAAAGAAAACATAACCTTTCATAATGGCATCTTCTGGGTCCACAAGAATGTTACTTAGGTACTTCATTATCAGTCTGGGTTTCTTTGGGATCAGGTGATTTTATACAGCCAAATAAGGCGGTGCGTAACTCTGGTGTACACAGAGAATATAGAGCAGTGCAGAGCTGTAACTGTACGTTCCCAGGCTCAAAACAAAGCTTTGATTTTTACCTATATCTCGCAGCGTGACACGGCTTTCCCTGGGGAAAGGAGCTGCATCAACATGGACACACAACTCCCAGGGTTTTCCTTTTTCTTTTTTAATAAAATACTATCATGTTCATATCTATACAAATAATTATTACAACTATTAAACAAAGTATTACATTTAACAATAGAAATCTCCGAACTCTGAACAAGATCGTGGTTTGGGATATTTACACCTGAATGCAACACAGTTGTAAAAAGCTGTCAAAATAAACAGGACAAGATCTTATTTACAAGAGGAAGGTGATGTTCCTGTTCAGTCATTACAGATTTCTACTGCAGAGTTCCTTTTTGCCATTACAAAATAGTAAGGACTTTCCGTGGGACTGTATGCAAGCTGTAGAAAACAGAAGCACAGCAGAAAACACTGGACTGAATATAAATAATTTATCATGGAGGGCAACTGCATCTTTGATTAATCTCCTGTGGCAAAATCCATCTTTGCTTCTCTCACAGCGAGCGGGCAGAGCAGGGGTACGACCCACTGCGAGCTCGGTTGTTTCATGGTGGTGACTGCCAAAACCAGCCGCGCGTATTGCGAACTTGGGAACCTGCTGGTAAAAACAGTTCTGCTGAGACAGAAAGAAATGCCCTTTTCCTAATTTTATTTTACATTTCTCTCCTAAACACTGGTATCAGCAGATTAAAAAAATGGCTTCTGTATAGCTAAAACCAGGGCTTGTTCACAGAGAGAATACGGTTTTGTATTGCCATGACCAAAAACCTCTGCTAAATCTTTCCCTGGTTCAGACTAACTTGAGCTT